AAAAAATGGCAAGGAAGTTTTAGTAAAAAAAAAACAAATAATTATGAAATTAGGCTCTCTCTGGGCTATTGAAGCCAGATCACTTAAGCTTGCATTTATAACACCAATGACCAATACCATTTACCAAGAATTGCAAAAGTCATTAACAAAAGAGTGTGACTTACTTATTGAAGTTAGTCTTTGTAAATTATATTTATTAGGTGGTCTGAAATTAAAACTTTAATTTTATTCATACTCAACTATTTTCAAACTCTAATCTGAAGCGGAAATTATTAGTATAAACCAATTTTGCTTTAACCATTTTGCTGACAGCCATTTCGCCAACAAATTTTGATCTAATTTAGTTAAGGTTGGCCTGCTTTATAATTAGTGTTGACTGGAGATTGTCGGCGAAGTGGCTGTTGGCAAAATGGTTGTCAGCGAATTCTACCAGAACTGGGGCAGAAATAGGCATTATGCATCCTATCACTGTATAGTGCTTAATTGTCACATTATTAATATTTATATAAGTTATATTGTAATATATGACTATTAAGCATTATAAAGTAACTCGAGTTCTGGCTTTGACTACGTATTACTAATGTAATAAGAAAAAGAAAATTTTGAAGAAAATGATACTTAAGCATAGAATCAATTGTCGTTAAATAATAGGTTAATTATACAGTATAGTTGATTAAAATAATGACATTTTATCATTATGTATAATTGCTAGCATATATACAGAGTTTTGAAAATAGCAATAATTTTATTCTATATGAATATATTAAAGTTTTAATTTCAAACCATTTTACTCCTATTACTTAATGTTTAATGTACCAAATATTAATTTAAAAACAGTTATTTCCAGAGAGCTTTACGAATTTACCAAATCTTCATGTGAATGTTTATCTTTTACAACATGCTCAGAACTTTGCAACGCTAACCAATGTTGCCGTAGGTGTTAAAGAAATAGTCCATAGCATTTTTAAGAGAATGGTTTCACATACCAACTGTAAAATTATTGAGCTCGAACTCACCTGGCTTTATAATACAATACAAGCGTTAAGACTTATTTTTGATGGCTGGCAAAACCCTCGATTTAATGTTAATACTAATATGCTTTCTAGCTTTGTTACAGATCCATATCTTAATACAATGTTTTCAAACTGGTATGCCACTAGTAACGCATCACTCACCTTAATAATTCTACAAAATAAAAAAATAAAGAAAGTAACTAGTAAATTAAATTTTTTTAATAAGACTTTATGTTATTTTTTTATTAATATATAATTGTAATGAACATAATTACGCTTTTTGTCAATTCAAGAAATTTCAGAAGACAAAACAATTAGACTCAATATTGGGATATCCAATTTATATTCAAAGGTCTAAAGGAACTCGGTTTATTTATCCCATTAACTATTTTAAATCTGGCTCTCTG